CACAGCTTTGTGTTGCGAGAGCACATCTCCCATTGCTCAACTTTGCTTTGCTAATATCAAGATAAGTCTCACTATTGTTCAATGTAGGTTTTTTGCCTAAACCATGAACAGCAGTTTAACAGTTACTGTAGCCTCAGATGTTGTAAAACTTGTGGGCAGTGGGTAAGCTGTACTGGAACATGGAGGGTCTTTGAAGCAAACACCAGCCTGAGTCTTGGATAATGATCTGGGCTGCTAGCAAGTAGTTGCCCCACCAGTTACTTGTCTTGGAAGATTCAGTTGTCCTGTGGATGAAACAACTACTAATTTGAATTAATGTCAAAGTAAAGGGTACCTGAAGAAATAAACCACCTTAGCTGTTTGTGTTGCAGTGAGCTCTCTGCAGCCTGGGCTTGTTCTTTCCTGCACACCCCCAACCTCAGATCTTGGCTTCCACCTCTGGGGTGGTGCAATGACCCCAGCACAAACCTGGCCTGCCTAGGGCAGGAATGAGTGAGGAGCACAGCTGGGCCCTGCTGGAAAAGAGAGAGAGGACTTGGAGATGACCTCTGGATGTAGGTTGAGGGAGGTAAGGAGGCAAGATGAGGCCACTGGAACCTCAATGAGATTGTCTTAGCATGCCTCTGCTCTTCCTGCAGCCTGAAAAGTAGGCCCTTGCAGCTTCTCTCTCTCCCTGCACAGCCTAGCCCAGATACTGCTGGGTAAAGCAGGCAGGGCACCCTCCCTAGGAGGTGACTTAATTACATCCAGACAAAGCCTTAAGGATCCCAGCCACAAAGTAAGCCTCTGACATCTCTGGTTGCTCAGCCCATTGGAGTGGGACCATGCAGGGAACTGGTTTCACAGCTCTCTTGTGCTGAGTGAGATCGTGCTGGGGGGACAAGAAAATATCCCAGTGTCCCAGCATGAATCGGCCATCCATTCATATCCAGCTTCTCCAGCAGTACCAGGCAGTCCTGCAAGGATAAGGGACTGACTCTGCTCTTGTGACAGGAGGATTTATGCCAGGCAGTTGTGGCTGGCTACTGTTGGTGATAGGAGAATGAGACTTGGACTGAAGAGCTTCCCTGTGCTCAGGGCTGAAGATCCAGTCACTAGATCATAACTGTTCAAGCGCTTTGGTTTGGAGGTTCAGGCTACATCTCTAAGAATTGAGGAGGTGAGCCTACAAATAAGAATCTTCTGATTCGGTGCCTTTTCAGATTTGGTTGTGCAGTTCTCTTGTGCTTTAAAGGATTTATGCTAGGCTAGGATATGACTTGCTTTTGGCTTCCTTTTCCATTTGTTTCAAGCCAAACTCCATGAAGGCACGCTGTTGTATGTACAGTGGTTGTGCTGAGTGCCTGCCAGTGGCTTTGAACATGGTGGCCATGCTTCAGTTCAGTGAAAAGCTCAAAGAACAGTAAAGCTTTTAAAGGTTCATAAGAGATCTTTGAAACCACAAAGCCAGTGGATAGAGACCTTGCCATCCACTGACCAAGAAACAGACTGTAGCAGACTTGAACTGTGGCAGCCATGAGGAAAAAAAAACTAAACCAGAAACGAATTATACAAATACTAAATCCATGAGGGACCCGGTTTCCTTAGGTCTGCTGTTGATGGAGCTCTTTGCATGGCAGAGGAAACAAAATTGCTCACCGAGCTGAAACTAAATGAGTGGAAACAATTTTCTGGATTGCTTGCAGCTATTTGCCAGTAGTGTAAGGCAGGAAAAGGTTAAACATTAATTTCTATCTATCTCTTCTGTACTTTCTTTTACTTGTCCAGTGATAATTCAGTGTAGCAATCTGAAGGGTGGATGGCACACACAGTGCTGGGGAAAGAGGTGCTTTTGGGTGAGGGTATGGTGTGAACCCACCTTTGGGGGTTACTCTGCCAGGCCAGGGCTGCTGTTGCCAGTTAGGCCAAATGTCACTGAGCTGTTGGAGCGAGGGTTTGGCCTTGACAGCCAGGGTTGCTGCTGCTGTGGAGTTACTCTACTGCAGTCAGGCCCAAGCTGTGCACTTGTACAAATGGGAAGGTGATGACTTAGCCTGTGCTATAACCCCTGCCCTGGGTTTCTCCAGACCTGTCACTTGTGAGTCACTATTTGTTTATTTACAAAGTGCAAGCAAATTATATCAATACAGAGTCAGGCTGTTGCAGACACTGCTGTTTGGACATCAGGCTGTGTTTGCAGAGCAGAGGCAGAGCAGTTGCACAATCTGTGTAAGTAGTCATCCAGTCCTAAGAAAACCATTCATATATCTCAGGTTGTCTACCTGATCAGTTGCTTGAGCCCAATGACCTGACTCTGCTTGCTTTTACGATGCAGAGGGTTTGATTTTCCTGCTGCAAAGGTGTTTTACTGTATGCGGGCTTTGTGTCATCTTTCCACCTCCCCTACTGCATAAAAGCACTAGGTCAAAAGCTGTAAGAGACCACATCCATACAGGTGCATTTCACTTGAGAAGAACAGGGGTAGCATAAAGGATATATTCAACTTAATGTGGTGGATGATTTTATTTTTTAATGCTAAAGCTTCCTCTCTACAGTCTAAGCCCAGAACCCTATTGTGAATACTGGTTTCACCAGCACAGCAGAGACCACAGCTCAGCTCAGGGGCAGAGTTTTGTACCACACTGAGCAAGGTATAAGAGCTTACAGTGGGGTTGGTGCCAGGAACCTTCAACTTATAATTATGACATTTGGAGGTGATATGAGTGTACCTGTTTATAGTAGCAAGGAAATGTTTCTGTAACTGTGCAAGAAATGTATATTCAGCAGTAACAGTAAAATGATGCTTTTGCTGTTGAAGTTGTAAGATCAAGGCAGCCCACTGCAGATATGTGGCAGAAAATCTGCTCTAGCATAGTCCTCAGCTAAGACAACAAGCCACAGGTAGGTGCTAGTTGTTTGGCCTAGCTTAAGAGAGCTGGAAATCTCTGTTTATAATTAGAGTAAATAAGCCCTGATGGAAAATTGTCATCCTCCTCTTCTTTGGGTCATTTTTATCCATGACACCCATGACTGCGACGTCAGTGTGATTAATTCCATGCAAGGGATTTATCTAAGATGTCTTTTCATGTGAGGTTAGATCATTTGCTTGCGCAGTGTTGTAATACTTTACAAACAAGAAGCAGAGCAGCCCTGTGTCTGCCCTCCTTGGGGATGGTGGTCTGACTTTTCAGGCTCACAAGAGACAGAAGGAGGAACTGAACACTTTGAGAAATGAGCCTGCGAAATCCCACACTGCCAAATGAGGCTTTGTTTTGCACAAACAACACTAAGCCTTGAATACTTCAATCTTGGCTGACTGTATGTGTCAAGTGAGTCAGAGCAAATGTCCACCCAGCTAGCAGCAGACTCTAAATGAAAATGCTGGTGTGCACTGTGCTCCTGGCAATCCCCTGAGCCAGAGCATATAGACTGGGAATTTAAAAAAAAAAAAAAAGTGTTAATGATTAAAGGAATAGAAGTTCTGGTGAACTCTGCCTTGATGAACTTTTATGAACTTGCTTAGTTTAGATCTGAAACTTGGCAATGAGTTATTGTCATTTGGAAACGAACTTCCTTAAAAGAAAATAGTATATTTGTGTTCAATGTCAGCTGCACTTTCCTGCCCTCTAAACTCTAGTATAGCACATCACACTGTCGTGAAGCTTGCTGGTCTTTAAATTGACAGTTTGAAAGCCATACAGTTTTGCTTTGGCTGAGTATCCTGTAATGGCAACAGCCTGCATTTCTGACATCTTTTGTCATGGTGTAAGTATTTATGGCAACCATGTTGTGCTTGAGAGATTTTTTCCCTGAAGGTCAGGACAGTTGCAGATGAAACAGCTGATCCCTTCCTCTACTGGTCCTTTACTGTATCTCTGCAATTTCTAATAAATGTTTGCTGATTAGAAGAATTACCTTTGGGGTAATTTGACAGAACTAAATGCTGCCAACCCTAATGTGCTTGTTCAATAAGTTGATTAAGCAAGTTAAGTGCTTCCCCTTTGCCATATAGTTAGGGACTTCTTGGTGCACCTAGGTTTGCACCACTAGGTTTGGACCACTCTGCTTAAGTAGGAAAACAAAACTGGATGTTCTTAGCATGAAGTTCTACCACGCCCTGAAATTGGACACCATGTCTCTTCAGGTTAACACAAAATATTGAAAGAAATATTATAAAAATAACAGGAGTTAGAAACAACTGCCTGGAACCTCAGCTGTAATTATAACAGTGTTCAGCCAGTGCCTGAACTTGGCAAAGGTACTGGCTTCTGTGATCAAATCAGCCTGCTTGAACCAGAGCTTGGCCATTCTCCAGGTTTAGTGTGGCACTTTGGGCAGGCAATGCCTTTCTTGTGCTGGTTCTCTGGAAAGTCCCTCACACAGAACAAGTTTCAGTGGATCACTTCCTCATTCTGCTCCTCAGCTTCTGCTTGGCATAGGCTAGAAGCTGCCATGAGCCTGCCAGCTGGGCAGTAGCTGTACACCCTTGAACTGGAGCCAGCATGAATGCAGCTATGGCAGAGGCTGTGGGGTCTGCTCCCTCCAGCTGAGGGTCTGGTCCTTCTGTGCAGTGGTGATTATTCAAGGGACCAAGCAACTCCTGAGGAGCAGCTGAGTGATATTCCCTCTGTTCTCCTCCTGGCTGCTTGGAGCATCCTGAAGCCCAGCAGGTATTTTCTGTTCAGCTGTGGTAACAGACTGTAATAGATAAACATCTACATATTCAGCAGGCTCAGTAGGAAGGTTTGTTCATGTCTCTGTTTAGGCTGGTCTGGATTTTGTCATATTTTGCTGCTGTTCCCAGATGTTTCCTTCTGCACTGAAAGTACAGTATGGCGTCACTTTCGTCTTTGGAAGAGTAAACAAAACAGAAGCCAGCTACTTAAAACATATTCCTCTGCTGTGACTAGAGAAAATCTCTTGTTCAGATACAGACATCCGCTGTTTGCATTGCTCATCCTCCTGGCAGGGGTTATGGGCTTTGTCTCACTTGGTTCAAGCCTAACTTTTCTGATCCTTCTATTTTTGAAATGCCTGAAATGCTGTTGCTTCCTCTTACAGATCTTGGTTCCAGCTGCTTCCCACATCTCCAGGAGATGATGAAAAAAGAGCTCATCAGTGGGTCAAGGTATGGTGCTAGACAAGAATATGCTTGATTTTGCCAGGACTTGGTTTATCTATCAATCACATTGCAGGCCTGGCATTGAGCTGAAAGGTAGAGGCAGAGGAATGTATCTGCTCTCCAAGAGGGGAGTAAACGTGACCCAGAAATGCAGAGCTGGGTGACTTGCAGTGAGAAATAAATTCTTTTCAGAAGGCCTACGGTGTTTCAGGAGACTCTGACACCTACAGGCTTTTTCTATACCTCGGGATAACTTAAAGCAGCACTCTCCAAACTCACTGCAGCTGTAGCACCACTTTTTTTTTTTTTTTTTTTTCCCTATCCATCTTCCTGCAAAAACCAGCACCTTTCTTCCCCTTTCTGCTTTCACAGGAAAATACACAACTCACTTCCTGAAGGCTGAGTTGGGAGAGGTGATGCTGTGATCACTGGGTGCTGGCTCTTCACCCCAGAGGGTTTGCCCTGCTGCCAACAACTGCACGTTGCTGTTCCTTGTCTTCTGTGAATACTTGGTGAGCTTTGCCCTAGGAACAAGCCTAAAGTGCTGAGGATTTTCTGGAGATAAAGCTGAAGCCAAAAGTTGAATATGGACACTTTTTAAGGGTCAGAAAATGCTAGGAACTGGCTTGTTGAATCTGTGTTTTGAATGGAGGATTCACATTCATTTGCAAAAGACTGGAGCTAGACAGTGCAATACCCGCTGGTCCTCCAATTTTCCAGCCCTTAATACAGCATTGAAACTCTGTTGCAGCTGTTTGAAGGATTCACACCTAGATATAAACCCTTCTATAGAGGAAATATAGTCATGTTTATATTTCTTCCTTGTGCTGCTGGTGACTCTCCCTCTGTTGACAAGCTCTTCGTTCATTGGCACGACCATGACAAGCCTGCTTTTATCACTGTTTCCAAACTTAGCCAGTGTTTAGAACAGATTGTTAGAGAACAGCAACCTGGCAGTGCTAACAAGGTGAGCTCAGGGGTTCTGGGCTCTTAGCCATCTGCTGGGTCTCTGTAACCTCAGTAATAGCCTCTCCTCTTACAGAGATCACAGAATCCTGCAGCCAAACTGCCTCACACTGGGCTGCAAGAGAGAGACGAGCAGCAGCTCAGAACTGGGTACCAAGACAGGTTGTTTGTATTGATCCTGCTGGCATGAAGAGTGTTTACTCCACACAAAGGCTTGCTGCAGTGTGTTTCAACAAGGAAAGCCCTTTCCCCTTGCTTGGCAGAACTTTTCATAGCCAATTGAAATAGCCAACTTTTCATAGCCAATAGCTAGTTTGTTACCAGGGTCCTTGCAACATGTTTCCCTGGTGAATCACAAAAGATGCAGACTGTCAGGGTGTTTCCGCAGGTGTCAGAGGGATGCAGCTGGAAAGGTTTCCAAAGGTGACACTGGGATGTCCCAGGCTGCAGCTGTCCCTGCTGCTCTTTGGGGAACTATTCCTGGGTGCAGCTGAACATGGTCCAGGCCTCTCCTTGCCCACAGCCCTTCAGGACAGCTCTGTGGACTTGCTCAGGTTAAAACCCAGGGCTGGTTATCACTTAACAGAACCATATTGTACCATCTGAGCCAGCCCAAGCTTGAAGTTTCAAACTCCCCTGTCTTTGATACCCAGGTTTGGCTTTTGGCCAAGACTAAAGTCTTAGTTCTTATGTATTTTTGTTTTTCAGGCTTGAACTGGTTACAACTAACTCTTCTCCTCTGCACTTTCTAGCTTGTATGATTCTGTTATAGCCCAACATTAAGATGGACCATCCTGAGGTTCTAGAAGGCTACAAGCCAAGAGTGAACCACAAAAGATGAGTCCCAGCTGCATTGTGCCTGAATAAGGAGCTGGAGGGAAGCTGCCAAGATCTTTGGCCTATCCAGGGAACTGTTGCTGGCATGGAGGTGTTCACACCAGCTCCTGCACAGGACACACAAGTGTCTGCTCACAGAAAGCCTGTACTTGCCAAGGTAATGCAGCTAATCCCTAACACAGGTCCCTGCATATGCAAACCCTGTACACCTTGACAAGCAGCTGCTCCCCCACTTCCCAGTCCTGCTGCAGAAAGTCTGGGATGCCTCATCTCTGTCACCACCACCCAGCAGCCAGGTCCTGGTATCACCTTTGGCATCAGGGCTTGGCTTTCCCATGTTCCCCCTGTGCAGTCTAGTCCAATCTCTTGGGCTGGTCCCCTACGCTGGCCTCTCTCCGATAGGCACAAGGACATTTCTGCAGGTGTCAGAGGGGCCCAGCCAGAAAGTTCCCCAAATGGGGCCCTGGGATGTTCAAGGCTGCAGCCATCCCAGCTCCTTCCTGGGGACCCACTTCTGGTGCAGTCAGACACAGCCCAGTCCTCTCCTTGCCCACAGCCCTGCAGCCCAAATATAACAGATATTTGGGTTTTTTTCTGTGGTCTGCTCTGGTCACACATATCTCCCTTTCCTTTCTGCAACATGCAGGAATGGTGTGTGAGAAGGAGAGGAGCCAGCTCTGAGTCTTCAGGAGGTGCAAGGCTCCTGAGAGCATAGTGCATTAGAAGGACTGGGAAGTTCTGTGCTTGTCTGTGCTGACCAAAGTCTCCTGTCAGCAGGAGTTTTTCTAGGAAGGTTGACATCCCCCTAACTACTCTGCTCTCATAATGACTGAGTGTTCATCCTTTTAGTTTTTCCCATGTGGCACTTTCCACGGACACTTGGTACTCTTCAGCAGGATCTTACTGATACCTTCCTTTAATCTGCAGAGTGGAGACCCAGCTTTGGGAAATTCTGAGACAAAGAATTTTTCCATAAGATTAGAAGCTTAAAAGTCAAGGCCAGATATGATCCAGCCCAGTGCTCAATGTTGTTTAGAAAGCAGCCCTATGGGGAGAGGTGAATACTGGAACATGCTTCCATGGCACTGGTAATACCATCCTGCTTTGTTGGTGAGTGGTGCTGGACCATGCAGTCCTGCCCTGGCCAGGCCAGCCCCAGCACCAGGGGCTGTGAGGCAACGAACTCATCGGGTGTGGGTACAGGACATCTGCCCCATGGGTCAAGAATTCCATGTCCCAAAGGTCTCAGCTTCACTCCTGTGAACTCAGCTAGCGTTTTCCTAGCGTCAGTTTTGGTGCACTTTGGGCTCTGGGTTGATGCCATAGTGAGTTCAGCTATGAACTCTGCTGACCCCTGCAGACACCAGCAGAGAAAGTTCAGGAACTGAAAGCAGCCACCTGCCCTTGGTCAGCAAGATAAACAGAGTTGAGCCACATGTGCTGAAACATTTTAAAGCCAGGTTTGATCTACATTCCTGTAACAGATTTTAAGATCTTAGATTGGCTTGAGACACTAGAACCGATGTAAGTAGACAGAGACAACTTCGTAGATGCCAAAAAAGCTGCTGATGGTACTCTGGTTGGATCCAGCTTGCCAGATTTTCTCACTCCTGAATCCTTCTCCTCCTTTAGGCTAGTTCTGGAAACTGCAGGCATGTACGAGCTCCCTTTACTCTGTCTCTCTTGGATGACTTAAGAACTGTGTAGCTCCAGAGAGGGAGTAGCAGTGTATTCCTCTGATGTTTCTGCATGCAACCCCTTATCACCCTTCCCCTCAGCCCTTCAGCTATACAGATGAGCAGTGAAAGTAGTACAAATCCACTGCAAAGACTAGGCAGCAAATAAAACAGGGTATTGCAATTAACAGGGTGCTTTCTGACTCTCTGCTGAGCAGGTGCTTCAAATCTGAAGCAGAAATATTTTCTCTTGGTATCCTGAGCAACTCCAGAGCCCCTTTGCTTTACAACAGTAAAGACCCTCTGCATGCTTAGTGCTGAGGAGAAGAGAGGACTCCTCCAGCCCTGTCAGCTGTATCCTGCTGTTGTTATAAATCAGCTGGTGTCACTTTCTTCCCTCTTTTCAAGGCTGTGATAACAAGCACCTGGGGCAGCCAGGTGACCTTTGGCTGAGCTTCCTCTTTAAACTCCCGTGGCTTTTGCTTCATTGCCTGGTTGTTGCACAGCAGTAAAGATCTGTTCTGATAGCAGTAGAGGTTGCTGCCTTTTCTCTTCTTATGCAGCATTAAAGCTCTCTGAATTTGCTTGAATGGATTTGCATTTAGGTCAGGACTTACTTGAGAAAAAGGTGGGGTTTTTTCCTCCTGTCTTTTTTTTTAACTCTGTAAGGAAGGGTAATAAGCACAAAGGCATTTGGGAAAAAGAAATGTGGGCTATGGTTTGGCACAAAGGGGAGGACAAAGTCATTAGTAACAGAAAAAATAACTGATGTGGCAGAAAACTACATCTTCAGCTGATGTAAACCTCCCCGTGGAAGCAATGGGACCATGTCACTGTCATCAGCTGAGCTGCTTGGTGGGTCTGCTCCCTTCTGTAGTATCTAACCTGTCTGCAGCTGCTCCCTTCCACAGCAGCAGCAAAGGAGTTTGGATAACAACTCTCTGTGCTATGAATCTTCATCTACATTCTTTGGCTCCTTGTAGCTGTATGCTTGGGCTGCCTAAGTCCCTGCTGTGCTCTCTGGATGCAGAGTGCCAATAACAGGGTGGCTGTCACAGCCCAAGTGGTCATTTCGACCCATGCCATAGCATTGCAGGGTTGGTTGCCCAGTGCCACTGCCTCATCTCCAGGATGTATTGGGATGGGACACAAAACAGCCGTGAAGGACCCATGCTGGGATCATGGGGACAGGCTGACCTTGTTGTGAGAATGCTGCTAGCAACTGGGAGACCTGGGTGTAGGTGTTGGTTCCATTTTAGCATTGTGCACTGCATTCACCAACTCCATGTCTCCTGGATCTTTCTTTGTAGATGGCAAAATACTTCTTCCCACCACTGGTCTTGTTGAGAACCTCAGGTTTTTCAGAAAAAGTCTCATGGTGGCTTTCTGAAGCTTTGCATGCTGTCCCTTGGAATATTCTTAGAACTGCAAAGGTATGAGTAGAATCTGGTATGCTCAGCAGTTTAAGTTTCAACACGACATATGAGAACTGGGGTTTGTGGTATAGAACTGGTAAACGTTAAGTTTAACAACTAAACTTAGACCCATACACTCTAGAGAGAAATCCAGTTCTTTATGAATTGGGCTTAAAGTCAGAGGTTAACTGTAATTTCATGCAAGAACGACTCACCTGAATTCTGGGTGTGTCTGATGCTTTGCAATAGCTTTTGCTGCTTTGCAGCATGCAGGAATCACAGCTTTGGCAGGGCTGGCAGTGCAAGGCTCTGTCGAGGTGACAGAGGGGACAGATCCTGGGTTCTGGTCTCTTTCTGATTCACAGTGATACAAATAAACCCAGGGAAGTACTTGCTGAGAATTACTAGATAACGCCTAGGTGGCGAGCTGGGAAGTGGTATTTGAAAGAGGCAAGCTCAGCGCTTTTATCACCCGGAGTTACGGTATTCTTCACAAAAAAGGCTGCCTAGATTGGCCTGATTCATCTCTAATGAAGCCGCCTTGCATTTCATCCCGTTTTCCTGCTCGCTTTTCCTCTTTACCCAAGGCAGGCTGTTCGTGGCCCCAGCCTGCCCCCCGGTGGCCATCGGGAGGACGGCAGGAGTCCCTCCGGCCGCGGTGACAGCGGGGTGACAGCACATGGCCCGAGGGCTCCTCCCTGGGCGTCAAGAGGGGGCTGGCTCCCAGGGCCACCCATCCTGCCCAAGCCCGGGGCAGATAATGCCACAAGGATATTTGAATGGCTGAACTGGGCTATTCGAGACTATCAGCTCTGCCGCTGGACCCAATGTGTGCTGCTTCTTCTCAAGGGTCCCTTTGACCCTCTTGACATGAATTTTCTTTAATTCTTTCTCTTTTGATGTTTCCTCTGAGCTCCCACAGATGAGAGAGTCTCGCCAGTGATCTGCTGTCACCTCTGGCTGTTGGTGTCACGCAGTGGCAGCCCAGGGCTGAGGTAAGCAAAGTAACCATCCATGGCCACCAGAGATGCTGCTCGTGTATTATCTAGAAGGCACCTTGGGGTGTTTTTTTTGGGTGGTGGAATCCTTCAATTAAAGCAAATGTTTCCATTTCTTGCTTTTATAAGTGGCAGTGCAATCACAACATGTTTCTGGTTTTTAATTTTTCTAAAATAGATTGTACAAGATGCCTTCAGGCCGTAGGCATATTTAGCATCATGTGTATCTTCTTTTTTTATTTCAGTGCCGAGAAAGAAAAGCTAATATTCAAATGCCAAAGAATTTAATGAGGAACAGGTCAGGCCATGCTAGAAACCGCTTCAGACTTCCAGATCCAAAATCCATAGCTATGTGGGCAGAAAGGCCATGTCTGAGGGAGGAATGTATCTCTTCAGATGCAGTACCTCAAAGGGCAGGGAGGAATGCAGAACTTTTCAGGCACACAGACACCCCTGAACCAGCAGACTGTCTACTATGGGAAAGCAGTGCAGGGAGAAGGATGGATGGCTTCCCTGAGAAGACCAATTCCTAGGATTGTGTTAATGGCTCTGCATTTATGAACAAAGCAGGAGTGATTCAGATAAAGTAAACCAGAACATCTCTTGACCAGATGGCTTGAGTGAGGGGTTGGGCTTTGTGTCTCCAGTCTGTTTGCTGGGTCATTCATGGATGGAAAGGATACTTACTGCTTTTGAGTGTCATGCCAGGTATGAAGAAAGTATGCCCCCTGGTCCATCTCTCCCAGCTGATTTTAAACCCACAAGGTAAAAAAAAGTGCAATCCTATTCAAGAAGTTTGCAAAGAAAATGAGTTGACATCAAGGAATCCTTGCTGCTTTAGGGCAGGAGATGTCAGGAAAAGGATTCTGCATGCTAGGGCTGCTGTTTCTGCATTTCAGGGGTCCAGGAAGCCACATTTCTGCAGGTGCCAGAGGGGCCCAGCCAGAAAGCTCCCCAAATAGGGGATGTTCAAGGCTGTAGCCATCCCAGCTCCTTCCTGGGGACCTGCTCCTGGTGCAGCCAGACACAGCCCAGGCCTCTCCTTGCCCACAGCCCTTCAGGACAGCTCTGTGCTCACTGCTGGGCTCTGCACTCCTGCCACTGGTGGCTCTGGGACAGAGAAGCAACAAGTTCCCTTCAGCAGTTTCTTCTCAGTCTGCTCCCCCTGCCAGGGCACTGCTGCCAACCATCACTGAGATGTCACCTGCAATGTCCCCTCAGCACAGCACAGGCACCACAGTGATATGCCAGAACATTCCATTGGAACCTGCTGTCTGTTGGTGTCAGTTGGCCTTTGCCTGCCAGCAGGGAGGACACAGCCAGGCTGTCCCGGGTGATGGCCATGGAACGAGAGTTCTCGTCCCTGCGCTTTCCCCAGAAGCTTTGGAAAATGCTCGAAAGTGGCAAGTTTCAGTCAATTTGGTGGAGTGAGAGTGGAAAATGTGTGGCCATCAACAAAGATCTCTTTGAAGTGGAGGTGTTGAGCAGGGAAGGACAGCAGGTCTTCCACACACAGAAAATTAAAAGTTTTATGCGACAGCTGAATGCGTATGGATTCACCAAAATGCAGCGGAATTTCCAAAGATCTGCCTCCCTGCCTGAATTCCTGGCAGAGGAAGTGGCAGCTTCTGCTCACAGCCAGGTACAGCAGCTGCTCTGCACAGCAACCAGCACTTGTGATAATCTGGGGGAGGAGAGGGACCTGCACAGAAAATAAGGCCTTTTGCAGGTTGAAAAGAAACTGCTTTTTATAAGGTGAATTACATAAAAATGAGGGAGAGGGACTTTTTGTGCAGGCAGAGAGTGACAGGACAAGGAACAATGGTTGTATAGTGAAAGAGGCCAGGTTTACATTAGATGTTAGGAAGAAATCCTTCCCTGTGAGTGTGGTGAGACCCTGGCACAGGTTGCCCAGAGAGATTGGGGACGTTCCATCCCTTGAAGTATTCAAGGCAGGCTGGATGGGGCTCCAAGCAACCTGGGATAGTCAGTGGCATCCCTGCCAAAGGCAGCGGGGTTGGGACTTGATGATCTTTAAGATCCCTTCCAACCCAAGCCAGTGTGTGATTCTGTGATGGAGGGGATGGGAGCGAGTGGTCTGGTTTTCGTTTCCTTCTCAGGCTGTGCTCAGGCATGCTTGAGTGAGTCTTTCTGACTAGTAGAAATGCAGATAAGATACTTTTTGGTGAGATCTGATGAGTTTGAACCCATTAAAGGCTCACACAGACTCGCCATAACCTGATTTCTCTGAATGTCTTTGCTCTGTATCTTACTGCATCAAACCTGAAACTTTCCTGTGGCATCTGCCGAGTGCAAAGCAGATACATCAAAGGACCAACAAGATTACCTGCCTGCTCACATCTGCACTGAAGCTGCTGAGAAATAATGATATTTGGTTTTCAAAAGTAGTTGTTCTGCTTTTGAAAATCATACACAGCTCTGCTCTCAGGAGGCAAAACTCCAGGGGTGGCGTTGCCTGAACACAACCATCACAAGCTTAAGCGTGATCTTTAGGTTCTACACGGCCCTCAGAGTACATGATCCTCTGCTGCAATTTGGAGTAACTTTGGGGTTTCCAGTCTTGGGATGGTGGCACCTAACTCTTCTCCTTTGCCTGTTTTAGATCCTCTACTACTTTAACCCCAGCTTCAACAGAGCGCATCCCTGGCTGTCAGAAGCGTGCAAGAGGAGAGGTGTCCTTAAAGGAAGGGGCCCAGATGCAGAAAAGATGGAGGAAAGGCCCCTTTAGAAGCCCAGATGGTCAACCCAAGCTTCATGGAGAGGCAGATCTGGGCTTCACACAGGTGCCTGTTAGAATGCAGTCAGTGTCCCGTACATAGTGTCTCATAGTGCTGCTCCTAGATAGAGATAAACAGAGTTGGATGAAATAAACTTGAGTTGGTATTAAACCACTGGAAGAATAAACATGTCTCAGTTGTCCTGAGCTCTTTGCACAACTCCAGCGTGAGTTCCTATTTTGAACAACCAGAGCCCAAGTAGAAGCAACTGATCTCCCACCAGTTGAATCACTTCTTGGAAGTGACCAGCCCGGCTTCTTAACCCTCGAGAGCACGGTCGGGACCGTCTCCACCAGGCTCTGGAGCCATTCAGCCCTAGAGCAGGAGTAAGGCAAAGGAGCGGCATGGTTGGGCACTGAACGGGCTGCCCAGGGAGCGGCATCAAGCCTGCCGGAATAACTGATATAACAGCGGCGGAAGGCGCTTTCCCCAGCGTCCCGAGCCCCCTGACGGTGCCGGCTGCGCTCAGAGGAAGCCGCTCCTGAAGCGCCGGCCCTCACCCGGCACGGCCCCGCCCCCGCCACGCCCCCTGCGGGCGGGGCCGTTGCTACGGGGCGCGCGCGGCGCGGGAACCGAACGGCAGGCGCGGGGCATCATGGCCGCCCTGAGCCAGGTGAGGGACGGCCGGGCCAGGCCGGAACGGCCAGCCCGTGTGAGGCCGCTGCGATGGAGCCGGGACCTCCCGGAGTGCTTGAGGGGCTGCCGCTGAGCTGGAATGGTGGCGGTGGCAGCCTTTGGGCCGTTGTGTGCGAGCCAGAAGGGTTGTGACTGTACAGGGAAGAGTGAAAGGGGAAGGCAGGGCTGGTGCTGGTCCGCGCGTGTCCGGTGCTGTGAGGGGCTCTAAGGCCGGGGTGGCGGTGGGAGGCAGTGCTGGGCTTGGGGGGGTTTCAGTGCTGCTGTGGGGCTGGGGACAGAGGGGCTCGAGGAGATTCATGCTGCTGTAGCCCTGGGTCTGGGGTGCTGCTGCAGCTGGGATTGGTCTGTGTTTGTGGAGGGAGGCACCTCTCCAGCACCTCCAGGCTGTCGGAGGGGTTCTGGATCTGCGGAGGGCTGGTGCTGGGTGTTGAGGGAGGAGGGCTGCTCTGTTCTGGGGCTGGGTGCTTGTCTGAGCAGGGGGCTCTGCTCAAGTCCTGAGTGGGAAAAGGCTGTGATGGGGATTTTCAGGAAGGCAGGGGCAATGCGTGTGAGAGCGGGGATTGAAGGCTGATCAACCTGTCGTGAACTCTGGGCTATTTTCAAGTGTTAAAACCTCTTATAATAGTTCTCTCGGGTCTTTGATTTTTGCCTGACCTCAGGCTTTTGTTGGCCTTTAAAGCAAGCTGCTGTGGGAAGGGTTGTGCGTCAGTCTGTTTTGCTGAAATTCTCATTCCTCCTGCCTGTTTCAACAGGTGTGTTAAATCTTGCAAATTTGCCCCTTCGGTTCACACAGTGGCCTCTTAGCTACACCTGAGCTGAGATGAGCAGCTGTCAGAGCAAAGCTGAGCTTGGCTGCCTGCTCAGGTGACCATGGCTTATCTGTCCTACAGTCAGCTTTAGAGTCTCTATGCCAGCAGTGTGTTGTAAAAATGCATGAGGGATTTGTGGTCACTCAAGATCCAAATTAAAAACAGCTTGGATAATTTTCTTCTTTTAAAATTTATGGTATATATGAAATTTGCATTTCGTGTTGTGCATTGCCTGCACAATGGTTCTTGCCTCTACCTGTTTTTTTGTGGGGTGAATATGTGGCTTGGTGTACTTGTAGAAATATAAAATGATTTTATTGTACAAGGACGATTCTTAAACCTGTATTGTCTGAACATCCTTGTCTTCTAGGAAGATCCATCCCTGGAGAGGCACTTCAAAGGCCACAGAGATGCTGTCACTAGTGTGGACTTCAGTTCCACTAAGAAGCAATTGGGTAAATTGTCTGTGTTTTGATGGCCAGTGGATAAAGAAAGAGTTGCTTGGCTTTATTTAGGTGGGGGGAGCAGTGGAGATAACGGAACTCTGCAACAGCAAAAGGTCCTGCTGGTGCTTCCTGCCAACAGCAGATTGAGCACTGCCCTACTCACCTTGCAAGCTTGTGTTTTTGATGTGTTGTGAAGAACTGCTGAGCTGACTTTGGTCAATAGTTTGCCACAAAGGAGAGGTGTTGGAGTGAAGTGTAGCGAGGGTTCTTTTAAGTCACCAACTCCCCAGTCTTCTCTGCTTAATCTATAGTGCCATTTAACCTGCTGCAGCTAATACCTGCCTCTGCCAATAAGAAAGTGATGAGATAACCTTCATTTTCTGAGTGTATGGAAGATTTGCAACCTATGTGGCTTCTGCCTCTGCAGCTGTTGCATGGCTGGACTCTTGGAAGTAAATTGTCAGTCCAAAGTAATGCCTGACTGGCCTTGTTTTTTTAGAATTACTGATGAAATGATATGCATGACAATAATGAAATACACAGCTTTCAATAGACTGGTGAAGCTTTAAGGCTAATGTGTTGAAACTGCTGGAAGCTATGATGATGAACTGAGTGTGAAACGTAGTTTTAGTGTAATTGGAGAACTAATGCAAGTTTGGTTTTGTGTGGTTTTATTTTTCCTCTTTTATTTCAGCAAGTGGCTCAATGGATTCTTGCCTGATGATTTGGAGTATGAAGCCTCAGATGAGAGCCTATCGCTTCATGGGCCACAAAGATGCAGTTTTGTGTGTCCAGTTCTCACCTTCTGGTCACCTTGTGGCTTCAGGCTCTAGAGACAAAACAGTCCGTTTGTGGATCCCTAGTGTGTGAGTACCTATTCTGCCTCTCTTTGTGTTTAATTATGGCTTGGAATTTCTCCTTACTTCTTTGTAGCAGTTCTCTGACTATGGGACAGGGATCTGTTTGAGAGAAAGAAGAACCACAGTGTCTTTGTCTGCTCTTCAGTCTGTGAATATGTAGCTCCTGATGGTACAGTACATGCTGGAGGCAGATTTTGGACTGAGAGTTCCATAAGCCTGTTGGATCTCTAAATATGCTGTGCTTTGGATCTCTGAATATGCCAGAAAAATGTATCTTGCATTTATTTGGAAATGATGTGTAAAGAAAAATGAACACATTTGAATTGTCTTGCCTGGCTGAGTTAATGGCAGTTTGCTCACAGCTGTACAGCATCAGGTGTGCTGAATTCAGTCATGTTATTTCTTGTGTGATGTGACACTGGAATGGCCAACTGGAGCATGGACCATTACAGGAGCAGTTGTGAGGCTGTTGCCTGCTTGGCTCTGTCTAGATGAAATATGAAAACACCTCTCTCCTTGCCTGCCTTGCAGCAAAGGACCTGGCAACACTACCTCAGTGTCTTCTTTTGCACTGATGTTTTGCACAAATTAGCTGTAGCATTTTTTCCCCTTTGTAGGAAACGATGGTTGTTTCCTGTTGGATTGGCCTCCAGTATGGAACTGGAGCAACTGGTTTTAGCTGTATATTCTGTATTGCTCATGAAGCATGAGCAAGTTTGGGGTTGATCAATGTTTTTATCCTACTATGGTCACATGCAGTTCCCATAGAAGTGGCAGTTACTAGCACTGCTCAGCATACAGCAGCTCTGTGTTTTCAGGTACAGAGTGTCTTTGCTGCCCTGTTGTGCAATTTTAAGGAGCTCTTCTCTTTTATGTAGCAAAGGAGAATCAACTGTGTTCAAGGCTCACACAGGAACCGTGAGAAGTGTTCATTTCTCCAGCGATGGCCAGTCCTTAGTTACAGCTTCTGATGACAAAACAATCAAAGTGTGGACAGTTCACAGGCAGAAGTTTCTGTTCTCACTGAACCAGCACATCAACTGGGTTCGCTGTGCCAGGTGAGTACAGCTCTCAGACGAACAGAGATGGAGATTTATCCCTCAGAGCAGAGGCTCAGTGTCATGGTCTGGTGCAACACATTTGTATTCAGGGTGATTCAGGTGTGTCTAGTGATTGAAATATATTGACCTGCAGAGACATCCTTCGAGTAATAGTCTGCACCCACTTTGTGTTGCTCCAGTAACCTCTGTCAAGCAGAGGCTTTCCTGCTTTTTCATTTGTTCTGTGTTTTGTTTTTACCTGGTAAGGAAAATTCTTTATCTTGAAGTTGCTAATAGAAAAAAAGGAGAGATTTGTACTGTTATTTCAGCTTAGTTTCTTTAGATTTGCCATGTCCCTTGTTAAAATGATCACCTGTACTACCTCCAAAGTGTTTCGAGTGCTGCCATGATAATAACATTATTTCCTGCAAACTGTTTCAGATTTGGTTTCAAGGAGTTACTTATGCATATGTGTATCTAGGATAAAGCCATGATTCCTCTGTCGGTAAAATGTTCATTACAGTTCTGGAATGTGGTGGTGGCAGTGGCTGGTAGCATTATAGATGCCTACAGAAGAGCAGAAAGGATGGTTTTCCAGTGTGTCTGATGATCTGTAGTTAGGGACTCAAGTCTTGATTCTGTAATGTGTATGCCTCTGAAGAGAGATCTGGATCTGTCATGGATATGCTATTTCGAGATGGGAACTCAATATATTTTTCTAAGACACTGGAATGGTGAAGACTCTGCTGCAGCTGTTTTCTTGTAAGTGGCTGTGTTGCTCTGAACTCTTGTGGCAAAGGCAGGAATTGTTTTGAATCGGGGCAGAGAAGAAACACTTAAACACTTTAATTGAAACAAGTGAGACACAAGATCTTAAGTCAGACTCACGACTTTCCTGAGGGTTATTTTATATGGTCGTGGAGTTAGGCATAGTTTGAGTACTTAGGGCTTGCTTCCTTTTCCCTCAACTTAGTGATTGGATTTTCAGTCTCACCGATGCCTCTGTGACTTCTTGAAAAGTGAGGTGTATTTACCAACATACTTTGACACCTGGCCAAATTCAGTTGACCCTGTACTCCTTTCATTTGAGGGTTTTTCTTGATTGCTGTAACTCTTGCCTTAGATTCTCTCCTGATGGACGATTGATAGTGTCATCCAGTGATGATAAAACTGTCAAGCTGTGGGACAAAACCAGCAGAGAATGCATCCATTCCTTCTGTGAGCATGGAGGGTAAGTACCTGGTGGTGATGTCTGAAGTGAGGTTACCTGGGGAACTTACACCCGGTTTGTGAGGTTCAGAGATCCCTGCCCTGGCAATTATAAAACTGCTTAAAAAACCTTTAGGACCTCTTGCAAAATAGCCAGTGTGGGGGCCCAGTCCAGAATTGCCCTGGCCCCTTTGACTGTTAAAGGTTAGAACTGTGAGGGTTATATTTCAGTAGCAGTCCAGCACATCAAGCCTCAGTTTCTTTATGCTTACTTATTCTTGGAGATGCTATAATTCTTTATTTCTTTTTTTATTTTGCTCTGAGTTGACATAAATTAAAAGTGCAGAAGTCTACTGACAGAATGGCACTTGGATGCTTTGATTCACCTTCAAGTTTTTAAATAACAAGGTTATTCAAAAACCCCACTTTGCGTTTCAGAAAAATAGCTGTTACATTTGGAATGTTGAGCCACAGCAAAAGATAATTTACTCAGAAACAGAAAACAAGTCCTCAGAGAACTGAGACTGGAATCTCCCTAATTCATTGCTGCACTGAATTTCTAGTGCAATATTACGTTATTTCTAGGTAAGGCAAATATTATTAAGACAAATTCAGTCATAATTTTTTTCAGTGCACTTAAGTATGTGTCTTGTCCAAACAACCTATTGAAATAACTTTTTCAGCACTTGCTACAAGAATACTCAAAAGAAAATTAATTTGTCCAGTTTGTTTGGTGAGGAGTTACAGGGTATCTTTCCCAGAAGGGGCTGAAGCTTTTATTATACTCATGTATTCAAACTAAAAGTTATTTGTTTCAGGTCCAGAAAGAAATTTGGCCTCAGCCTTGCTACTTTCCAAGTGGAAGCATATGATTTCAGGCACAAATTCACTAAGTTCCATCTTAAATTTACTTAACAGAAGAACAATCTGTGTTCAGTCTTGTACACATCACTCTGGAAATAATGTTAATTTAATAGAAGACATATATTATGCAAACATTAAATGAACACTTGAAAATGTTGTTGTGACAGTTGGATCCATCAGATTTCAGTAGGTTTGTGTCAACAGCTCCTACACCTGTAATGTGAAGTACTGAAGATGTGCTTAGGTAGGAGCCTGCAGTCTGCCTGGGGTTAGAAGCAAGGTCTTAAGAGAAATTCAACAAAATAAATTTTCAGGTCATCTCCTTTCCTTAATATTCATTGAGTCCTGATGTAGTTTCCCTTGTTGAAAAGGCTTTTTTGCTCTTTGGCAAGAGTTGAACGTCAGCAGTTGGGTTTGGTTGCCATTGCCAGGTTTGTGAACCACGTGGATTTCCATCCCAGCGGAAACTGCATTGCCGCGGGGGGCACGGACAGCACAGTGAAGCTGTGGGATGTCAGGATGAACAGACTGCTTCAGCATTACCAAGGCAAGTCAAGAGCTTACAAAAGTTCAACCTTTCCATGTATTGATGCAAATTGCTCTGAAGTCCAAGGATTGTTTCTGCATCAACTGCTGCTTTTCCAAAAAGCCATTGCCAGCGGGAGCCCTTCTTCACCAGACTTTGTGCTTTGCTTTGTGTTTAGCTCCAGAACTAATTCTGAAGCTGACCTATGTTGCAGGTGGTCTAAGTCTTACCTGTGATGCTATTTGGCTCATATTCAGTGTTATTGAGAAGGTGGTGTGCAATAAAAAGGACATGGCCTTTGCCTCTGAATAAGCCTATAGGAGGAGTCAGAACTATATTCCAGAAATTCAAAATATTAGGTTCTTTTATGAGGAAATTATGAAAAGTTAAAAAAAAAGGAAAATCTAAATCAATCAATTGCAATTCTATACTATGATCATGTTTATGGTTCCTTTTCCAGACTCTGTTTTTCAGCTTCCATATTTAGCTTTGATGATGCCAAATGGCATCTTCTGCCATTACCTGTCCTTGTCCCACTGATTAGTGCTGCTGTTTGGTAGATCTGGATAGGAAAAGGGTGCTTTCCCATCTCTGCCAGCTTCTTTGCTGAGATTGATTGACCTGTTCTGTGCATTAGTTTCTTGTGCTGAAATATAGCTTTTCTTTGCTAATAACAGTTTTTAAAATGAAAAATTCATTTGAAAATTAATACATTCTCAAGCACTGTTTCCAGTGTTGATAGCTTACTAAACTTAAACTTATTAAACTTAACTTTCCCTTAGGAAGTGTTTCTGGCATGTTCATAAAGCAGATCAGAGACATGGGGCTGGAGCTTGATGTGTTCTTTCTGCCCTCAGCATCAACTTTTCAGTGTGTTCCTGCTGTGACAGCCTCACAGCTTTAGTCATTCTTCTGGATCACAGTCACTCCCAGCCTTCTGATAGTTAAAAAAATCTAATAGAAACCAAACTTTTTGATGGCTGTTGTTCCAATTAGTCAGTATTGAGCGTGCAATTTGTGTAATAAGTATTGTTAACTTGTGGCTCATATCAAAACTTGGAAACGCCTTCCTGAAATCGTGTTGCTAAAATCAGTAGTGTTTTTAAATACTTGGGCAGTGTCAGGTTGTCCTTTAACCTGCTTTATCAGCTTTTCAATGGTGGTAAGATCTGCAGTGCATGTTTCCAGCCACTGTATAACTTGGCTCTGAAGTCTTCTCTTCCTGCTTTCCACTTAGGGCTATTAAATTGTCCAAAACTAATGTGGTTTAGGCTTGGCTGCCAGGTTTATTTTTTGTCATGGAGTGACATATTTCCCTGGTATCCCACCCTTACTGAATGGCATTTTAGTGTGACACCCTTGCTATTGAAGAGGTCATTTTCCTGGGGTGAGTGTTATTTTTAACAGCTACTGTGTAAATCCTGTGAATTAAACTTTGAACTAAAAATAGTGATAATAGCTGAAGAAACCTTAAATTGGCATGGTGGCTTTTTTGCAGCCACTTCATGCACCTGCAGCCACAAACTTGTGTGTTTGTTACAAACATTTGATGTGTTTGTAACATATGTGTTAATAAGTCCTGCCCTTCTGAGGGTTTATACACACCTCCTTTTGGCTAAATCTAGTTTAGTTTTGTGGCTCCCCTGTGAGGCTGCCAGTCCTGTCCCACTAGATGGCATCTGTGCCTTCAGAATGTGCTGATGCTTCCCGATTTCCAGGGAATCCATTTTAAGCATGGAGTTTCATGGAGGAGTTAATAGACGAGTAGCCCTGCCTCGGGCTCTTGCATCTTAAGGTTGGGCTGGTTTCCAGCACCGATTAGTCTTTTAGCAGTGTTGCTCTTGTTGCCAGCACTTGTTCCAACTGTGACATTTGTAAATGAAAGTTGGAAGTAGAGAGCAAGCTGCAAAACCTTTTGTATGGTGTGTTTTCCTTTGAGCCAAGCAAAGTATGCTCTGGTCACGTTTACTGTACAGGAGAACACACAGATGCTTTATTCGGTGCTCTGCTTGGCACTGACCCTTTTGTACAGCAGATTTTGTACAGCCCCTACAGAAGTGGCCAATGTTTATTGCCTGACATTTTTTCCCTGTCCAAAGCTGTGCATGGGACACCTCTGTAGAAAGTCTGTGGAAACAGTTCTAAACTGTTTTTTATTCCTGTTTATTTAAAAATAATTGGTACTTTTATCCAGTTTGGATGGGACTGATGGTAGTTATCCGTTCAGTAGAAACTGTGGCTGTGTGAAGTTCATCCTAATTTGTCTTCTCCTTGGTGGTTACTAAGGGTTGCATTAAAAGAAGTGTTGTGGGGCTTGGGACAGTTTTGTGCAGGCTGAGAGGATTCAATTTTAGATGTTAACCCCCAGTATAAGGCCATTAAGAGGCTCTTATTTTGCTAGGGCTTGGCTGGCAGAAGGGTGGACTTGTAGCAACAAGTCAATGGGAAATACCACCTTGTGCTGCACTGGATTTCATTTTACAGCAAGAAATCAAGTGAGGTGGCAGGATGTGTTGCTACTTTTTTTGGAGAGGTGTTATGAGTGGGTTTGTGGGAGGTATGACCTTCTTTGACAGTAGAGATGAACTTTTCTCTGAGTTTACAAGAGCCCAGAAGTCCTTGGGCACAGACGCTGCAACTGCTTATGCAGCTGCAGTCTGTGTGACTTTATTTTCCATTATGGAAAGGTTTTTTTTGTGATGCTGGAAATACTTTATTTGCTGTCTGGAACTTGGAAGATGTGATACATTACTAACCTTGTCTATTTCTGATGTGATTCCTTTCAGGACTTTCCTTAGTTGAGAAGATACATTTACATTTATCTGAATATAGACACTAAGGGGGTGAGGAATATTACGAATCACTCAGAAAAAGATTTTTCAAGGGAGGAAGATATTTATCACTCTTTCATAAGAAAAAACTCCACACAGACCTTTTTCTCCTTTAATACATAGCATGAGTCAGGGTTGGGGATAGAGGAGGATCTAGCTGTGAGCTAGAGACAGTATTCACCAACGAGAATAACAGCTGAGAAGTCACCTGTGTTAAGGTTTTCTTCCATGTTTTGTAGCAGTCTGGGTGAAGAGGAGTTGTTTTCAGAACTTTGCTGAGGTATTTAGTGTTCCTGAGAATTTCAAAAGTAGAGATATTCTGTTTTAAAATTGAGCTAGGTTATTTCAGCTATCTGCTTCAAATCCAAATATGCAAAAATAATATTGGGTTCTAATGTATTTGAAATAGTATTTTAAGGAGTTTCTTAACATGCAGTGTGGATTCAAAATGCACAGCAGACTCTCAACAGAACATAAATTTAGTTGGGTGTGATGTATCAGAAGTAGTAGATTTGAGATACCAGAACATTTGGAGGGCATATAGTATAATTAAGAATAACTGGATGGTTAAATCCCTCCTCAGGCATATTAATATTCTGTAATGTCACACACGCTCAGGAAGCTGGGCATATGTGAAGTACTGCGTGTTCTCATAAATAAATATGTTCAATAGCCTGTTTTATAAAAGTTTGGGGAGGGAAAAAAGTCATATATTAAATGTTTAATGTTACACTGAACTTCAGTGAAGTTTGACTTTTTTCCTAGAACATTTTCTTTAGCTTTTTTCAAAATAAATCTAGGGCTTCATCTTCATGAGGGAAAATGGCTTTATTGCAAGTTCACACTCTTGATAGTTTGTCTATTTGTATTTGTTTCAAATATTTGGTGAGGCAAATAGGATGTCTGAGGAAATAATGCTTATATTGGACCACTTTCAAGTTGCTCTTATTTCCTAGTTTCTCTTAACCCCAGTCTTGGCTAGAGTCGGATAGTAAACCAAAAGAAGCTGTGCAGTGTCAGCTCTGAGTGTCTTCTTTGTAATTTCAATCTTCTCAGTGTCCTAACATACAGATTTTAATCCAGAGTGACTTGAGAATGAGACCAGCAGCTCCATGGTGGTAAAGTACATCAATGTCCAGCACTCTCACAGAATCCTGTAGTTCACTTGCACATACAGTACATTTTGGGGCTCTACTGTAAGTTTTTGTGGCATTAAATCTCCCAGAATAATTGGCAAAACTTCCTTTTTCCTTTCAGTAAAGTAGTGCCTATTTTTACAAGAATTGACTTACTGTTATTGTTCTCCAGTGCTTTGAAGAGCTTTTGTGGAATGTTTCCCCCATGATAATTTTCCTGTTAAATTTTATAACAGAAAATTGGAATGTGCTTGTGCTTTATTTTTTTCTTTTGCCTTGGGCTTATGTAAACTGGTTTTGGTGACTATTATTGCTATTATTACTTTTTTTTTCCATCCTTAGTGCACAGCTCTGTGGTCAACAGTCTTTCCTTTCATCCCTCTGGAAACTATCTGGTTACTGCTTCCAGTGATTCAACTCTTAAGATTCTGGACTTACTGGAAGGAAGACTTCTCTATACTCTACATGGTCACCAGGTGAGGCAAAGGCTTTTTTACAGTAATGGACAGACTCATAATAAAATGAGCAAATCCATGCTTGAGACGTTGGTTCTTCATGACCAAAAATTGTTTGAAAAGTTCCTTGTGTAAAATCGTGATTATAATGCTAATAATCTTTGAGATCATCACTGTTTTGAAGGGAAGGAGGTAAGGGCAGGAATGGAGAGAATGAGAAAGCAAGACTAAAAGTGAGCTCCAGTATTGAGGATTCCAGTCTAAGGCAGAAGGAACTCAGAGCATCACCCTAGACTCTGACTGACCCTGTCAGCCACTCTCTATTGCAGCTCTCCCTCCCTCTCTAGAGACCTGCAAATAACACTTGGCCCCTGACATAGGTGTTTTGAAGATAAATGCTGTTCACCTGGCAGGAAATTCAAGAACAGTAGCAGTAATATAGAGGAAATCTATTTTGGGATTTGATTTGGGAACATCTTGTTAATGGACCGAATCATACGAGGTGATAAATGGTGCTGGTTGGTTAAGTTTAACTGATTGGCCTATTAGTATTATGCTGCTGCATGTGTTGCTTGTAAGGTTAATTTTATGAATGCTTGGAGCTCTTTCTAAATCTTAAATGAAAATAAATAGACTAATTTCATTGTCCATTCAGAGTGGGGTGTGGAAAAATCAAGACTGCCTTAAGGGTTCCCTTTCCAAAGGGACAAAGAGAACAGAAATTCTTAACCCGCTTGTGTCTCTTTTAAAATGGGGGCTGAGTTTTAAAGCATGAAACTGTCAGGGGAAAACCACAGCCTGAAGCTTTTTGGAGACGATGGGGATTGTTGTGGGCAATAATGGTATCTGTGTAAGCTGTAAAACTGATAATTCTGTCTTGTGGCTTTGTTTAGTGACTGCCTTGTTTGATGTCTAAAAGGTCAAGTTTCTTCTGTAGCTTCTCTTTTGCTATATATTAATTAAATTTGCTTCTTTTTTTCATGTTAATGGAAAAAATAGGAAAACCTTATGCTTAAATCTTTCATGAAGTAGAGCTTTGATTAAAACTGATCAAAGGGTTCAACTGTTAAAAGAATGGGAAGGAAATAACAAATGCTGATTATCCTAACATGTCAGCCTTGGCTGTATAAAACTGGAAGACTGGACTAAATGGATACTCCTATCAGATAGGGGCTGCAAGACTTCTGTTGCCTTAATCTTATTTTCATATTTGTTGTGTTAATCTGAGTTCTAGGGAAGCAGCTTTCTGGAAAAGGAAAAGGATTCTTACCCTGGGAAAGGGTAAGAATTCCCCATCCCTCAGGAAGGGATGTGCCTGGTTATGGTTCAGCAGGAAGCTGAACCTGCTTTCCATTTTTTCTCCCATTCAAGCTGCTAGATGTGCCTCACCGACTGCAGTAGCATAAAAAAAGAACTTAGCATTGAATGAGAGTCCAAAACTGATTATGGTGATGGAGGTCTTCAGAATGAGCAATAGAAAGTCCCTTTAGGCTAATGTTGTACTTAACTTGAGGCTTCAACAGAACAGTGTGTGGATCATCTATTCAAAAGTAGAATTAAAGCTCCCTGTTCTTCCTCCCTGTTACTTCAGATCAGTAACAATGTGTCTGCCTCTCCCTCCTGGGCATCTAACTGGCATTGGGAAAGCTTTGCCTTTGGCACAGCTGAAGAGCAGCTGCTGTTGTGGCATTTACAGCTCCTTCAGTTTGGAAAAGAGTGCAAGTATTGGAAGTGGCTGGTGTAAATTTCTGGTTGTCCTTAAGAGTATTGCACTGACATATCTGTGGACCCTGTCGTGGCATAGCCCTGCCTGGCATTCCCTGTCTGGCAGGTGCTGTGTTCCTGTGGGTTGGTTCTTTTACTACCTGATTAAACAGATACCTTGCTTTTCCACTAAAAGCTTATGTCAACTTGTGCTTCATTCTCAGCTCAGTAAGCCACTGTCAGAGGCTACAGGCTGTGCTTGTCACCAGAGGTGGATCCACTGGGGTGGATTCCTGAGCTGGCTGCTTCTTCAGCTAGTTCTGCTCATAGATAAATCCAAGTTAATAAAGAGGGACTATTTTGTCTCCTCTGTTATCACTGTGATTTGTGCCAGTATCCCCAAGTGGCTAAAAACAAAATGGTGTGGACTATTTTGGTCATTAAGTTGATTTGCCTTTTTAGGCGAGTGCTACAGGTTAGTCACCAGATGGACAGCTTGTTCTGAAGATGTTCTCGAGTTGTGACTTCTTGAGGTTGAACATTCTGGTTGACACTTTGTTCCTACTTGGACAGCTGGCTGCTGTTACATTGTTCTGGGAAGGCTGCATGCAAGTGAACACTTGAAGAAAAAACCTTAAGGTCATTTAGACATACTTTGACGCAACTGCTGGAGTGCCAGGAATTTGTTAGCAGCTGATTAGCTGTAGTTTACATGGGGAGGTTGGCCAAGTTTACATTGCTGTCTTTAATTGAAATGTAGCTGGCTCCTTGTAGCAGAAGGACCATTAGAGACAGAAGTTTGCAGCTTGGAGCTGACATCTTGCAGCTGCAAAGTATCACTCTGTATTGTGCTGCATATTTTGGTTCTGGAGTGCTTCAAGCTGTGAAGTGTTCTTATCTAATTCCATACAGATGAGACACTGGCTTGGTATGTAAATCCACCTCTAGTACTGAATCATTGTTGAAGAACAGAATGTTTTGAGGCCCCTAAGCTGCCCCCAGAGAGTTGCTAGAGGAGAGCAGGTATGTACATGGTACTTGTCTGCCCTTTGGAGTGGTTTAATTAGAGCATTTCCAGACTGACTTCCTCAGTGGAATGGAAGTTCTCAGTAAATATTTAGAAAACATCTCATGGTTATGTTCATAAATAGGAAGACAGAAAATGCAAAGTTACAATTCTTCAAAAAACCTTGACTTGAGCTATGAAGCAGCTACATTCTACCTACCTGGGCAACATCAATGCTCCCTCCTTTGCTCACTGACTAATGAGTAAGGTCTCCTGAGCAAGTGCACAGGAAACAAATGTGCTCCTTTACTGTCAGCTGCCAGCTCTGCCTAGGTGGCATTAAACATCTCTGTAGGCCTGGTCCTCTTTGAAGAGTGTGGGGACAGCTCAGGACTACACAGGACTCAAACAAAAAAGAAAGAATTGTGTCTTACAAACAAACAATTGGCTTTAGGCTAGCATTTCTGAGTCTTGAAAGGAAGTATGAGTTCTCTGTCCTTGCCTTGTGTTTTTATAGACTGAAGCTTTCAGGAGTTAAAGCTGCTGAAGATTCAGCTGTAAGATGCTGTGTAAATTTTCCCTATGTTAGTTGTAGCCCTTACTCCTTGGGGAAGGAAGGTGCAAACGTGACAGTCTTGCTCAGGAATTTTTCAAAGCCCACTCAGAGGTACTGACATTTTGTCAGAGGTATTCCACCTGGAAACATCCCTGTTATCATTGCCACCTCTGTTCCCTGTGCTTTTTTCCTTGGTTCTCTTCCATTCTCCCTTTCCTATGTGACTTGCCCTCTTCTCACATGCATGAGGCAGCTGAAAGCACTGTCAACAGTAGCAATGACTGCTCTGTTTGTTCTTAGTTCTTTTATGCCTAGAACTAATGATGCCAGGGCTGGGATCCCAGTGTGCTGGTTGCTGCTGGATTTGCTTTTCAGCCTCGTCTCCTCTCATGTGTCCTGTTTCTCTCTGCACTAGTTAGTCTGTTCCTGGAGAGTTTGACTGAATGTACTGGCTCCCACTTCTACATCTCCTTTTGTGGCAGTGGAAGAGGAAGCTCTCCTTTAAATCAGCTATTTGCATCCTCTAGATGTGCCTTATTCCAGCTCTTAGCACTTTCCTTATTCTCTTACCTGGCTTTTCTGTACTATGCATTGGTTTTTCGCAGGACTGAAACAAAAAAAGTAAAAAACTACTGGCATCCTTGACCCCACTTTTCTTTCCAGCTTCCTTCCACACCGCCTCTGCTTTCATAGTGCAGACAGTGCATCATTAAACTACTCTTCTCTGGTTTATTCCTGGATCCTCTCCAACCTGGCTCTTGTTTCTTCTGTTATGCTGAAGCCAAAATGTTAGCTCTGTTCCTAGCTGAAGCCTGGAAGTCTGGCCTCTCTTGACTTGCCTGTTGGTGTTGGCTCTGTTGTTGTTGAAGTGACATGCCTTCTGTGCCTAGCAGCTCTGGGAGAAGAAAAGGGTGTTCAAGAGGGATTTCTCTGTGATTGTCCACTCATTATTTATGGATGGTACACATTCATCTGCTGCCTGTGTGCCGGTGTGACTCTGGGCTCCAGTCTTAAATTTCTCATATTTCTCCAAACTAAACACTTGGCCTTTCTCTTAAGTATTTCTTTCAGAGACATCTATTTTTAGCTCTACCCTTGAAAGCTCTGGGATGCTATTCCTGTTGTCTTATGTCACCCCTGTGTCAGTTGTTAGTGATGCTATTAGCATCCTGCCAGTCGCTTGGTGGTGTAATCTGTGTCCTGGCTTCAGATCCTATCTCTTGGTGATTAATGCATTCAAGTCATTCAGAATAGTCTGACCATCTATTTTGAAGGCCAAACGTAATGTTTTATGTAAGCTCATCATCCTGTGAAATGCTAGGGCAATAAAGGCCTTGAGGGCACTAACCTCCCTTGTAGGAAGTGGGAAAATAGGGAGAAGGTGTAATCTCTATCTCTGCACATGAGTTATGTAACATACTGGGCCTCACCTTTGTCACCTATGAATGCAGCTAGAAATGGGCTGGCACTGGTATTTCAGTGCCATGCCATGCCTATCTGACCTTGCCTGGATCTTGTTCACTGGGAATGCTGTGGCAAACAATGAGGTTTTTTTGCTGTTACCATTTCTTCTCTATGGCTTCCTTTTTCTTTATGGCTGCTTTTCTCCATCCAGTGTCTGAGCTATTTGTCCTTTTCAAGACTCTCTGGGACTTGCCTCTACCTTGCCTGGTACTCTTTCACTAGAGGAGATGAGTTGAATGTTGATTAATGGCCACGTCCTTCTCACTCAACAATTTCATTGGATGACCTGTTGCATTCTTCTGTACTTTTCTTCAAAATTTCTGCAGCTCTCCCAGTATCACCAAAGCTGCTGTTATCATTTCAAACTCTACTGGACATGCACAAAAGCTTGACAGTCCTGGCGTTGACCCACTGAGGATTAAATAAAAATGTTCCTTACCACTGACTTGATGTATGTCGTTGCCTAGCCCCTTCTTCCTGCAGCTTGCTGTCCAGTCTGAGGGAAGAAGCTGCAGGGGTTTGGGGATTGGTGCTAGCAACTTGTATGGAGCACCTTGAGCAATGGGGGTGCAAACTGGAAATTCTGAACCTCCAGGAAATGCTAATAGAGGGCCATTTGATCCTGCTACAGAAAGAAGAGCTGAGTGATCCTGTAGAAGAAGGTTGCTGCATCCCACAAGTTCTGCTTATGTGGGAAATAAGCTTAAAATTCTCTCTACAACTTCTGTAGAAGAATATGCAACTGCTACTTTTTGATACTTTTAATGCAAGCATTTAGTTAAAAGAGGGGGAAAAAAAGATTTGGATTCTTCATTCTCCAATCTCATGTCTGTTACCCAGGACTTCGTCAGAAATCTGTTAGATTTCTGCTGTGCTTGCTGGGACAAAGAGAAGTTAGGCTCTGTCTAATAACTGGCAAGTGTAGCTTTTTATTTTTGCTTGGTGTGTTGATATTAAATTGCAAGTGTATTTGGCAAACTTTATTTGTATGTTGCTATAGCAAACCTGTTGTATCTTGGAAGAGTTCTGGAAGTGTATGTAGCAGGAATACTTTTCACTTAATTTATGTCAGCCAATCTGTAGAGGATGTTGCGTCTATAGACTTGTTTGTTCCCTTTCTTTCAATTTATAAAGGCACATTCAGTCTTTGATGTAATTTTCTATTTTGGGAAGAATATGTTCCGTTGAACTTTTTTCCCTTCAGAATGCCATGACTTTGGAGTCAGTTCACTGCCTGTTTTGATGTGATTTGTGTTGTACTAGATTTTGTCTAAATACACTGAAATATTTAGACTGATAAAAATATTTTTAGGAAACACTGCTCCTTTCCAGTGTTCCTTGCTTATGCTTGTTCCTGAGCACTTAGTCTTAAATATTCTTCTGCCCTCCCAACTCTGACTGGTTTATTATACTCCAAGACCAGCTTCTCTATGCTCCCCATACAGAAGTAAATTCACCAATATTCACCACCACAGTTTTCTGCTCTGGGGATGTTTCTACCCTTCCTTACCGCTTGTCTTTTACTTTTGCATTTTTTTAGAGCTTCCATTCCTGACATGTGATTAGAGAGCTGAACACTGGGGTAGGTGGGTGGCAATAAAGGCAGAGGCACAGTTTGTCTCAGCTGATTGATGGCAGTGTCTTTGGTCTGAAATATCTAGCCCAGTTATTGCTGTGTCAGGTGAGTGAGCTTAGTCACAGCAACGACTGCGCGTGCGGTTTGGAATTGCTGCTGCTGGATCATTCCTGGCAAATCCTGTCTACTGAGGTGTTGCTATGGGAAGGCCTCAAAACATTTTGAGATCACTTTGTATTAAATGATAATATGGAAACACCTTAAGTTTTAAGGAAGCTAAAACTCTTCACACTGAGATTGAGCACAGCAAGGCTCTGTTTTTGCTGTCATAACCTTGTGCCAGCATGGTTTGGAAGCCCACAGGACTGTGGGAGATGGGTTGCAGTGAGAGCTGGATGCTTATCTCACATGCAATCTTTGGTTATTTGTCTATCTTCAGGATTTATTATGTTGAATTCACTTTTGCAAAGAAGGTAAAGAAAGGGTGTGAGGTTTCCATGTGATGTCCATTGGGAAGATGTGGACTCAGAATTGTGTCTCCTTCCATCTTGATGCAGAGTGAGGAGAAGCTTCTTAATTGCCTTCTGAGATACATAATCTTACTTGAAAGAGGGTAACTGCTTCTGTCAGGAGGTGTATGATCATGTGGTGGAGTTTTTTGGTAGTAGTTGTGGCTTTTCTGATTGTGTTTTTGATGTTTGTTTTTGGTGTTTCCTCCCAACCCTCCCTAGCCTGTCAGCTCCATAAGCAGCTTCTGGAAGTTCTCATTTTGACCTCAGCCCATGCTGTGAACAGTCTGCACAGGAATGTGTTCAGCAGCTGACATAAAACTCCACGATCTGGGTTCTCAGCTGTTTACTCTGAGCAGAACAGTTTGTCTGTTGTGCCTGGGCTCGAATACATGTAGCAGTTCCTCGGCTCTGTTTAACTGCAGAGCTCCTGCCTCAGCCTTCTCATGTGCTTGCTGGAAGGTGGAAAACACATTGAAATAGGTGTGAAAGGTGTGCTGTAGCACTCAGAAGCATTTAAAGTCTCTCAGAACTGACTGTTTTAAGCATGAGGCTTCTTCAAAATGCAGGTGCTGTGCAGAAGTGATCTTGGATGCATTAACTCTGGCATCTCTCTTATCAGACTACTAAGAGAAAAGCAGTTGAAGCCAGCCTACTATACAAAAACCTCATAGTTTTAACACTGCTAATAAGTGACCAGGAGTTTTAGAAATTTCTAATTCCAAAATGACGAGGGAATATTTGAGGGGAACAAGAAAAAGCCTGTAAAAAATTTGCTGTAAAAATTTGTTTGTTCCTGTCTTTGCTATGGATATTGAAAAGTGGGGAAATGGTAAGTGCCAGCAAGCTTAGCATCTTAATTATGGCCCGTTTATCTGACAGGTAGGAGCTTTTCAAATTTTGCCTTTAGATTGCTGATGTCAAATGATAAATACCTTGTAAAACTGCAGTGAATGGAATGTTGTAACACTTAATATACTCTTATCTTTTTTTAAACCTGTCTTTTAAATGTGTTTGCAGGGACCAGCTACCTGTGTAGCATTTTCAAGAGATGGAGACTTATTTGCTTCTGGAGGTTCTGATGAACAGGTACCTGGTTAATTTCTGAGTTATAATCCAGATTCACATTTCTTTAAAAGCTGTTGCTTTTTGTTCTCCATTGTCAAGGGGGAAAACAAAAGTATGTCCTTTATCCAGTATGTCTGGACCATGCTAAAGTGACTTGCTCTTCTATTAACAACATCTCTGGAGATCAAATGAAATTGTTTTGGTGGTAAAGTAGGACATATAGCCTTCCAAGAAGCCCATACTCAATTGCCAAACTGCAAACAGGCCCGTTGCTTGAGCCTGTGCTGCAAATATGTCCTGATTTTAGCACAGTGTGAGTTGCCCTGCTGAAGACATAGACAGACTTCAACCCAAAGTAGTGGTGTGAGTAAGGATCATCAGTCTTCAAAGAGCTGTGTTGTATTACTCTTAATCCCCAGGTTGGACCAGGTGGCAATGCACCTTTTTTTTTTTTTTTTTTTTTTGTTGCACAGTGGGATGGCCGTGTTGGTTAACTGTGCAACAGTGAAAGAAAAATGCTTTTATTTCATGCAAAGCAGTGATGCAAATTTGTAAATGAAGAATAAATGCTCCTTCTGATAATCAGATGAGCTGTCTGGATTCTTGGGTGTCTTTCAGACCTCTGAAATCATTGATTGATTGCTCTTAATCTTTTTAGACTTGTAGAGTCAGTGCTGAGGGGTTTACTCCATGGATTTCCTCTTGATATGTTGAAGTGATTTATGTGTTAGAAGCCTCTTTTCTGAAATCAATACTGTTTTATGGAAAGCAGAAGCCTATAAGTGGGATTTAAGTTTGGTGTCCAGCTGACAAACTAGCTTAAGATCTCTAATGCTGGTCTTAGTACAAACTCACCTTTTCCTCTGAATGAGTCTCATGATGAGTGACTAGTTGTTTGGGATGTGGCTGATAAATACCATAATTCTTAGCATGGTATTTTAAAATATTTGTGATTTTAATGGTGTATTCTTCATGTTGCTTTGAAGTTCTCTCGGTCATTCTAGTTTAATGATGTTCTTGACCCAAAGAATGTAGAAAGAGGTCACTTATCCATTTAGAACTCAGTTAAACTGTCTGTATTTAGTAGCATATTTACAAACAACATCCTTAATTTAATCAATGGCAAAGCTCTTGTAGGGAAACTTTTTGTGGATTTGGTGATTCTTCTCTGAAGGGTTGAAAAAAAAGGACCTATAAGCAAACTTAGATGGAAAATTTTAATGGACTAAACTTTCTTCTGCAGGTGATGGTGTGGAAGACTAACTTTGATGCTGATTATGGTGAAGTAGTGAAACCCCAAAAATATGGCAGCAGTGTGGATGGGACCCATGGCACTGGGGTAGGTCAGCGACCAGTAATTGTGGAGAGTTCTTCTCAGTACACTTTGTGCAGTCTTAGAGTGTGTGACTCAGGTGGTTGAACTGTAGAATCATCTTTCCTTGCTGTTTATTTGAGCTGCAAGACGCCTGTTTTTTAACTAACCTTGTATTGCTTTTGTTTAACTGTACTTACTTCATAGGGCAATTGTATATCATGGATCTTAAAAGGAAGATAAACTTAGTGCATGTATAGATGTGTTTTTTAGTAACAGCCCTTGTTTAGGAATGTGTGGTTTATTATGACATGAATGATAGTTCACAAAAAAAAAGCAGATGTAAGCAACAACTGAAGTTGGCTTTGCTAACTGATATGAATCCTTTAGTCCTGAAAATAGAATTCACGATATCTTTTCACTGACAGTCAGCAAAGACACAAAAAAATTGCTGTGTGTAGGTGTCACACATGACAAGTAGGTGACATATTGTACTGGAGCTTGTTTCCTAAATACCTGGAGACATGAGTTCATATCTGTTCCCTGAACCATGTGCTGAGACCTCTGAGTTCTGACTGTACCTGAGGATAAATCCAGCAACTGAGTAATTCAGTGATGCACTGATCTAAGTGGAACTTGGATCAGTGCATCAGATGTTGGCTGTTACAAAAGTGACCCTTTAAAGCTGCTGCCCGTACAAGCTTGTCATTTTGGCACATGGTGATGATTCATTTCAACGTCTTTATTTTGTCTTGTCAATCTCTGGATATTTTTCATACATTTGGGTATACTTATAGGATTCTGCTGTATGTTATTACCATGGCTGGTTTTTGGTTAATCTTGTTCAGCATGAGCTGTAAGCTGAAAGGCTTTCTGTGAACCAGGGTTCTGTGCATAAGGTGGCATTGCCCCAGCTGAAGGGCAGGCTTCTAGCCAACATCTATTGCTCTGTGGCAGTGTCTTTGACCATATCAGTTTAGATCTTTACTGGGCTACTAAGGTTATCTCTCAAACACAGTGCTGTTTTTATTTAGTATGGCTTCAGTCAATTGCTGGAGATACTGGAATAATCATGATATTTTGGGATGGACAAGATCTGAGTTTGCAGCTCTAAGCCTGATGCCTTACTCTGTGGAGTGCTGTGTAAAGAAAGCAAACAAAACCTGAGCTTGGTTAGTGGGAGAGCATGGGAGGAAGCAGTCATATAAGGAAGGAGGTGAAAGTGTTTATTGATCTTTGGCTGGTTTTGGCTAAATCTGACTTCTTCCTTTTCTCCCCCTTCTATGTTCTAACTCTTAAGTTATGCAGGCTATGAAACTATCAGTCCAGTGACCTCTTTGTTTATTAGCCTATTGAACTGGTCTAGCTTTGAACTCTATCTGCTTTAATTTAAAATATGGCATAGTGTAATACTGAGCTGAAATACAGCATAGAACCATCCTCTCTGGGAGAAAAATAACGCTTTTGATTTGTAACATGCCCATGAATGGCTTAAAAATTGTAGACAAGGTATCAGCTAATGGGAAATTATGGCAAATTTGCCCTCTCCTGTGTTGCTGTTACTGCCAGAGCATATTATCCAGTAGTAATTTAAAGGAAGGAAGAAAATGCCTGAGCTCTTCTAAAACGTAGTTTTTCATTATAAAACCTCTTAAGATATCCATTGAAGGGAGCTGCTGAACAAATCCCTTGAACAATGTCTAATCACGCTGAACATCTGTCCCTCCAGCACAAGTGTTCCCCTGTGGAAAAGGATTTACCTGGCCAAACATCCAGCAGATGAGATGCTGCTGGGACCAGCTGTCTGTGTGCCACTGACAGGGCAAATCTGTGTCATGTGCTGGTGGTGACAAGGGTTTGCTCTAGTGATGCTCTGAGGGCATTTGGTATTCTGAGGTGTAATGTGTTGGGTTGGACCAGGTGCTGTGTATTTGCAGAGGGAGAAGTGAATCCATGCTCAATCATGCAGCAGAATCATGCTTTGGTTTAAGGTCCTAAATTACTTCAAAGGAGTTTTCTTGAACTGCCACCCAAATGCAAGCTTTGGCTTGGGCATGCAGCATGGGAGCTGCAAAATATAGCTAGTACTATGTCCTGGATTAAGGTGGTTAAAATTGCTAAAGTTAGGAGGGGAAGAGTAAATTATGTCCTCTGAGAACTTATTTTGAATACCCTAGGTTAAGATTAAATTTAGAATTGATCTGAAATGTTCTTTGCTGTTAAAAAGAAAACTGATATCTCTGAAAATGGCTTAATTTGCTATTTTAAGTATAACCTGAGCACGAAGATCTTGGCTCCATAGTAACTTATACACTCATGTCAGTCTCCTCGAAGTGAATCTTGTCTTGTATCTTTCAGAAATACATCATGCTGGGCTCTTTAAGAGTACCACCACTCCTACAACTCACTGTGAGACTTAAATTTCACTGTATTTTAATCTCTTTCTTGTTTTGAGCCAAATGCTTGCTTTTTTAATAGTGAATTGCTTATTTTAGTGGTTTTTGGGTAGGTGAGGTAGTTATCTTCTGTCAAATTCAGACTTGAAGCTGCCACCTGCAGATCTTGATTTCATGCCAAGGTCACCTTTTCCTTCAATGAAAAGTGAACCTACTCCTTCTTTCTTTACTGCTGTGTTAGTGTGCCAGGATTCTGCCTGTTGAATAATCCTGAGATTTTGCAGGCATTTCAAGATGTAATTAAATTTAAAATAGGTATATGAGTTACTATTTAGTTTTGGTACCCTTAAAATACACGAACACTATTCCTGAGACATCTTGAATCTGTTTTCACCCTTAAGTCCAGAAGAATATTTTTCCAAGGAGAGCTTATACTGCTGTGTAGCTGTGTAATTTTTTTTTTGTTGTTGTTAAGCATAATGAAAGCACAGATGTTAATGAAAACAGTGGCTGTGTAAAACCACTCAGTGCAGTATCTGGTTCCTCGTGGGGAGAGGCTGACTAACATGCAGGAAAGAATAACTGAATACAGACATCAAAACTAGTTTGTCATCAAGTTGAATAGGAAGAAAAAACAATCCTAAATAAGCTGTGGGATAAGAGTCATGAAATATTGTCAAGGTTGGTGAGCTTGAAAACAAACTTGCTCCAAACCAATTTTCACTTCCCTAGGCAGAGGGAGACTGGAGCCTTTGGAAGATTCTGGTTTCTCAGGTACTTGATTTAAGTTCAGTATGAATCAGGGTATTGGACGTGTTTGTTACAATGGATATAAATTTCAAAGTTGCTCTGCCCACCTGCTTGTGTTTTCTGTAACTATAGAAGACTTGGAAAATGCAGATTGCTTTGAAAGTAGAACTGATCTGTGCAAGGATTAATGCAAATGAAAGAGAAGGACACCATGGGCAGAATTGCAGTCATGGCTGGTGTGAAAGCATAGATGTGAAAGCGTGATAAACCACTAAAGCTGTCAGAAGTGAATTCTAAGTATGTTAGCATAGATGTGAGACTGTAAATGTTAGATCAGAAGTAGTACCTCTGCAATAAATGCCTGCTCTTAAATGATAGGCTTACAATTGTTGCTTTAAGTGTTGCATAATCACCTTGAAACCCAAAGTTCAGGGCAAGCACTCCTGATGTGTGCAGTGGGGAGCTGATGGGAAGAAAGGAAGTCTTGCAGTCCTGTGTCTTGATCCTGTGAGTATGCTTGCTTTGATCCAGAATCTAAAGGATAAATTCATGCTTTATGCTGCAATATTGAGTAGTGAGGACCTAAAGGAAAGTCAAAATGAGAGGACTGGATTTCCCAGGTGATTTCAAAAATACAGGCTCTTATGCTTGTCTGGGGTAGTAAGTGTAAGCATTTGGGTCTGTCTGGGTGAAGAGTTGTGTAGGATCAGATGAGAGGATGTGTTCACTGTTCTGATAAGTTATGAAAGCATTCAACATATGATTTGATTTTTTCCAGAGAGGACAGATAATGTGTTTTATTTTGGGAGTTTGGTGATGGACTTTTTTTTTTTTTTTTTTTTTTACAAGTACAAGGAAAGCTTTGCATGTGTGGTTGCAGCTGCCATGAATGTGCAAGAAAGCTTTTTTCATTATGGGATAGATTTGCTGCTGTTGTTAGTAATTCCAGGAAGGCTGTGTATGGTCAAGTGTCACAGCAAATGCTGAATGGGTGATGTCACATGGACAGCTAGAAAGTGCTTGGGTGTTTATCTAAGCTTGTTTATCTAAACACTGAAAATGGTGAATAAAAGCATTGTAGTATAAGCTAAGTGGGTAGACAATTTTTCTATGAAATATTATGGAAAATAGGAAATGCATTGATAGAGGGATTTTTTGCTCAGGTTTAAACATAAACCTTCTGGAGGAGTGTTGTAACTGTGCTAAATGTTAATTTGCAAAGGAGGAGGCTTATGAGGAGACTTTAGCCTCAGCCTCTGTATATAACTTTCTAATAAAAATTACCTTAAAACTTGCTCATCCTGAGTTACCTCAGACAGAGAGAGGTAATTCCTTGGTAGGGAAATTTGGGAGACATGGGTAGAAGTGAGAACTGTCCTCTGGCATTCTCTTGCCAAAAAGTCTTTCTGCTCTCCTGAAATTCAGGAGCACAAATGTCTTAAATATCCTTAGCTCTTACGAAGTTAAATGGCACTCAGTTGTGGAGATACCAAATTTCTAGGCATAGCTGACCTTCACAAAGGAAAGCTTGATTAGAGCAAGACTTTAGCAGAAAAGGACTTTGAAACAAGTAGCCTGTGACTCTTCAAATGTTTCTTTCAGCTAGACAGACATTTAGGCTCTTTTGATGCTGCTGGGTTTAGAGCTTTCTCCAGCCTTGGACTGTGCTTATTTCTTCAGTGGTAAATTATCCAAAATGGTTATCCTATTGGATAGGATTGGAGGCAAATTCTAGAAACCATGATGTGATCATAAAGTTGTGTGAATTCCATAACTGAATGTCCAGAGCTGACTCCACCTCTCTCCTTTGCTGGTTGGGTTTGTTTGGTGACCTCGGGTGCCTCCAGTGCTCAGCCCATGGTCCCGTGCTGACTGCAGCAG